TGTAAAGTATCATAAAATGGCACAATGTTACTTTCCTCTCTCCTCCCTTCATGCCACAGCATAACATCACTCTTAACTTCTACAGTGAGAACAATGTGCAGTGATGAGAACTGCTGCTCTCGCCCTACAAAAATATCCATTACATGAAAAAACCGTCATCTTGTGAAACATTTTGCATTTTGCTGCTCTGAGACAGAGAATTGTCCCAGTGGTCCTACCATTACTCAGCATTATATAACAAGTGGTTACACTGGGGGATTAAGGATATGGGGACTTCGGTGACCAGTGGGGGAAGTAGCAGGAAAAAACAAAAGTTGAGTGGTTTGAGTCACTTTTCCTTTCAAATGTGTTCCTTTGGGACTTTTAAAAGGCATTTTTAAGCTGTAGAGTGTAATTTGCCTCAAACTGGTGAAAATCACTGCCTTATGGATGATATTTGATTCTAGTCTCGAGGCTTGAAAAGTTTTTTGCCTATGAAGATGGGCTCTCAGAGCACCTTTTTCTTCTCTAAGTTGTCAATAAAGAATGAAAGCAGTGGTTTGAGGCGAGAATACTGAGATGAGCAGAGATGTTTTTCATGATATGAATCCTGAAACACTGTAGCTCAGCTTTTAACAGTTGTGTATGTAGTCTGATTGAGAAAATCTTTACATGTAGGGATCTCCTGGACTCTCCTCGGGGATCCCTTGCAGTCCCCTTGAATTTCATATCGAGCACTGCTGCCCCCCTCACTGTGTGTAAATGTCCTCGCCTCCAGCGCGGCACTGATAAACAGAACCTGCCTGAGCAAATGAGCTGAATCCATCAGCCCACCATTACCTAAGGTTAACTGCTAAAACATTATACACCAGGGTCCCTTTTTCTTTCAATTAATTCCCTACATATAGACCTCAACGAAGCCCTCTGGGCACAACACCAGGCCAGTGTACACTCAGTTACACCCACACATCCACAGAGATGCCAACACACACACACAAGGAAAAAGTAAAGAAATAACACAGACCAAACAAAACTAAACATACTGCACTTCTGCTCATAAAACACTGGCCGTCGGCTGCTTTCGTTTCCCAGCGGCTGCCACAGGTCAGACAGCAGTTTATAAGCGTGTTGCCCTCCTGTATGTGTGTGTGTGTGTGTGTGCATGTGTGTGCATGTGCCCCCCTTCAATACAGCTTGTCATAATATAGCAGATAAAGTGCTGATACGGCTGTGGCTGACACTATTATACACCACCACCAGGGAGATGGATATGGATGGAGAGAAAGAGAAAGCAGGAGGAGGGAACGGGTGGGTGGATTGGATGGATGGATGGATGGATGGATGGATGGACTGGAGTGTGTATATAAGCAATTTGCTATGGCAACTTTAGATGAACCTATAATTTGTCAGAGACTGAGTGAATGTGAGAGAAAGGGCAAAATGGATGGAAAGTGGCGGATTTGCTGGCAGCAGTCTCTTACTCAGCAGCAGAGCCACAAAACATGATGAAAAATGCTGCTGTGTGTGTGTATGTGTGTGTGTGTGTGTGTGTGTGTGTACACATCAACAACTTGCCGTGAATCGAGGTCTCACAGAGAGGCAAGTCTGACACCTAGAGGATGACTGTATGTAGTGATCTCTCCCTGCACTGCCGGACACCAGGAGCTGGGGTTTTATGAGAAGGTTTGACGCAACATAACGTCGTCCACATCCTATCATTATTTCAGTTTGGGATCACAGTTTGCAGGCACATGATTATGAGTGCGTCCTAACCTAACCCCACCAAGGAGTCCCAGGAATAATTTGAGGAAATGAAAAAGTAAAATCATAATTCAGATACACAAAATTTCTTATTTATCCTGCATTTTGTCACATTTTTTTTTGCATTTGGCTGTTCCACCAGAGTGTGATTGTGATGTATGAATGTGTGAGTGAATAGATGAATGTGGCAAGTATTGTAAAGCGCTGGTGAGTGGTCAGTAAGACCAGAAAGGTGCTATATAAGTGCACGTCCATTAACCATGTACATTTTTTTTAAGTCCAGGGCACATATAACTGTCACCATTTCAATGACGGTTTCATATTACCACCCATTCCAATGTGTATGTAGGTGCTTCACATTTAAAGCAGTATATGACGTGGGTATGTATAATGTGGAAAGTGTTGCTTATAGAACCCACAAAAAAGAATTGCCTGTGTCTGCAACCCTCAGATTTACAGAAATTTACAGCGTCTTTTAGCTTATTGTTTTGGTTTTGCGGCACGACATTACTGATTGATTTGATTCGCTCAAATGAGTTGGTGGGGACCAAAACAGAGTTAAAAGGAGAGTGAATATTGTTGGAAGACCAGAAACACAACCCCAAACTAATTCTACTAATGCTCTGTTGAATCTTGATGTGTAAATTGATGCGTACAACTGTTTGCTAACAAGTTTGTCATATGAAGTCGATGGTGATTGTTTGAAGTCATTTAAATGCTTTTGAAACAATGGTCGTATGTTACATAAGCTTATAAACTTTAACACTTTGATTCAGGGAACATTATGTGTAAGCGTTGGGCTCTCCAGGACCTTTCTCAGGAATAAGGACAGTCACCATATACAGGTGTCTTTTGACCTGCAAATACCCAAATCAGTGCTCACTGTTTCCCTGCTAGCATGTCGTGTAGATGAGTCCCAGAGTTGTGGCGAATCAGCCAAGTTCCAACTTTTTCTCTGTCTTGTTAGCAACCTTTAAAAAAAAGTCAATGACAAGTGAGAGCCACAGGAGTTATTTATCTCACCACTCAGAAGAAGAATGAAGTGCTATAGATGTCAAGTTTAAAGTTTAGAAATATCTGCTTTTCTCTGTTAATTTGTGTAAACACATTGGCATGATTAAATACGATCACTTCATGTTTTAATCAATTTAGATCAAAGGGTTTCCCTCAGTTGTCTGAGTCACAAGAGCTTTGACTATCAAACATAGATTGGATGTGAAGAGGATGACGGAGTGAATTTTTATCAATCTGATCATCTCTGTCGTCGCTCCAGTTTATCTACAAACAAACACAATCAGAGCCATGATTTGTATTTCAAAACACTTTATTAACATGCTCTTTTATTTCATCAGCCTGTACAGTCAGTACTAAAAGGCCTCACCCAACATGAACACACACACACACACACACACGAATACACAAAGGAGTCAAATATTTAGACATTATATAAAAGCTGTAAAAAAAAAAACAATTTAACCAGAAATACAGTCACACTGTAGACTTGCACTTTGGGTGACGTGTTGACATGCAGATTAGAGTTGTACAAAGATTTCTGAAATGCAGAGCGGCTTTGATGTTGACTGTGTTTCAAGTTTCACAACATACAAATCGAGTAACTATCAAATTTGGCCATCAAAGAAGACGGAGGTAGCAATCTGAAAAATATGTGGCAAGTTTATGATTTAGGAGTGAAAGTTGAGTTTGGCAAAACAGAAGAGAATTTAAACCTTAAGATAAACAACTTGGCGTAGCTACTCTGTTTGTTGTAGCTGCTAAAGGGAACATCATGTTTTACAGGAACATTCGGGATCAGTCAAAAAAAAAAAAAAAAAAAAAAAAAAAAACTTATTTTGAAATGAGACCTGTTCATTGAGAGAGTGTTGGTGTGACACGGTCTTTCAGAAAGCTTTCAGTCAGGCTTGTGAAATCTCTACACGCTGCTTTCAGTGCAGGTTTACCATGGATGTGAAGGGTTAACAGTTACCCCATGTGAACTGCGCCTTCCCAGTAGAGCTCCACATCAAATCTCAATACTTCGAGTACCAACCGAACGTGTCGAGTACTGACTTTTTTTCCTTTCGTCTTTTAAATTCTAGATGGTATTTTAATTTGTCACATTAGTTATAGTTCTTGCATGACTGCTCGTGTTGGGACAGCATTCAAAATGACGCATTTGAGAAAATTAGGCTTATTTCATTAAACAGAAATATGAGTTTTTGTAGAGCAACATGTTTATATTCCGGAAAGAGAAAAATCAAAGAAATGTAATTTGTTAGCATCATATTGGCAAAAATGTCCCCACTTCAAAGGTAGGAATTATGGTCCAGGAACCAAAATTGTGTATCTGTTGTTGTTGTTGTTGTTGTTGTTGTTGTTGAGATGCAGTGAAGTGCCAGAGAAACTGTGGCTGTTTAACCATGTTAATTCAACCAATTGGACGTTTTCTGCGTCCTGAGCAGCTCTGCTTGTATCAGTAAAACTCAATCTGCCGCTGACACCGAGTTGGGATTTCAAGGCAACACGATTGCACTGCTGGTTAGCTTCCAAACGAATAGCTTTAATAGAAGGGGTTTTTAAACTACTCTAGTTTCAATTTGGAAAATTTGATTAAAAAAAGACTACGCTCTTATGAACAATGTGTCAGCTAAGGAGGTAATCCTGAGTCTTCAAAAAAAAGAATCACCGGTTGGCCCATTTACTTCTTAAACTCCTTGTGCATAAAGTCTTATTCTACTGCTCCAGTGACATTTTATTAGCATTTGTTCCTCTAGAGTTTCTGCTCCCGTTTTCCTTGATTTCGCCTCGTCTTCCTTCCCTTGTAACAAAATTAAATGAGGTGTGTATCTGTTCTATGAATATAAATAAAGGATGACTATTAAACATCTTTTAAATATATCCTGACTTTAAAAAAAACTCTGTAACTATGAAGCAACTTCAGTAACTATTCTACACATGAGAGAACATGTAAATTATCCCCAACAGTGAACAAAGACTCAACAAAAACTTGCACCTTTGGTGTAGCTGGTAGTATTTCACTATAACAAAATTTTCAATATTTCATCTGGAGTTTGGCAAACAGTGCGACACCTCCGTTAGACTTGTAGCATCGTCTCCACTGTGTAAACAAAGACAAATGTACTGCTTGTCTGTGTGGTTGGCAAAAAGGCCTTTGGGTTGTGGCAAGTTCAACTCAAATATATAAACTTTTAGTTCATACATTGCAAAAAATTTTTTTTTTTTCCACCAGAATCAAATTTTCAATTCATTTTAGCAACTTGTCAAAACAAAGAGAAAAAATTAGGAAAAAAAGAGAAAACAGTGTGCAGAAAGACAGTTAAGATACAGGTCCACACCACATTGCATGAATAAATTCATTAAAGTGCTCAAAGTAAAGAGAGACAAGAATAGGAGAGACAGCTAATAAAAAACACAGACAAACTGAAATGTAGATGAAAGAGCAGACTGAGAATCACACAAAGAAAAGCTGTGCTGAGTGTTAGAGGATTCATATTGAATGCATTAATGGAAAATGGCCACTATCCTGAGTGGAGCTGGCACATTCAGAAGCTTTCACAAGACTGCAAAAGGTTAGTTGTTCAGAATGAGCCAAAAGCAATATACCCTCAAAGGCCTTACTCATCATCTGGTTTTATGTATGTATAGAAAAGGTTTTTAATAGAAGAGTCTTAGGAAGAAAAAGGAGTTTTGAAAAGAGACTTGAGTTGAGAAACGAAAGAAAAAGAAAATAAAAAGCGGGTTGAGTGGTCTCCAGATGGCTTTTGTTCCACCTCTCATAGAAAGCAGTTAGACGTCCTTTATGACTCACATCGCACCATGTGGAGAGGAGGTGAGACGTCGTCGCATTACATCGGTGGAGGTAAAAAAAAAAAAAATATTCGACCCCTCCTCAGTCTCCTTTGGCTAATGACGTCGGTGGATTAGAGGCGAGCGACGACGGCTTTCTGAGTTGGGAGTTTTCCTCCTGGACAAACAGACAAATCAAAGATGTTTTAAACACCAGGCAAGATCCACAGCAGCTGTTTTATTCCTGCTTGTTTCTTACCTAGAGTGTCTTCCAGTGAGTTCACCATCACCTTGTTGACCTTTAAAGTTCCCTGCGCCGCTCTGAAGGGAAGACATTGATGTGCACCGTCACTTTCATCACTAGTCAAGTCGCCGTCCACAGCTTATGAAGGGACTATTGCTTTATTAGAAAGTAGGTTTAATAGAGCTTTCAGAGGATTATCCAGAGTTACAGGAGACACCATTTCTTGAGATAGATGTTGCTGTTTAATTTTTTGTTTATTTAATGTAATTTTTCATTTTCTTTGAGAACCACAGTAGAAATTCCATTTACCTCCATTGTGGTGGAGGCAGAAATCACAGGGATGGAGATCTCAACAACAGACCAAATGAATTCATTAATTTATTTAATTTAATGTTATCATTATTTTAATGTTATTATTCAATTAGTTGATTTGGGTGAAGTGTAGTGCTATTATGCTTAGTACTGCTTCTTGGGTGATGTTTTTTAACCAGATTATTTGTTTCAAAACAGTTTTGCAATCAAAACTCCTGCTCCTCTTGTGGTTTCATCCCCTTTTTTTCATTTTACCTAAAATAATCTTGACTTGACCTAAACCTAACAAACATTTTTTTGGTTTAATAAAAAAAATATCGAAACTTAAAGTCATCCAGCAAAGGTCCAGTTTTATCCATCATCATATACTGAATATAACCACTATGATCAATAATATAATATAATAATACAACTTACCTGCTTCACATCCCGTATGTGTGGTATTAAATTATTCAGGGATAGCTGTATATCTGTTATTGCATTGCTGCTTCTTTTTTCTTGCTTCAGTTAATCAAACCAAGCAGGGACACAAGGATGATCCAAACCAACATACCCCTTGATTTTCCGTACAGCTCCAAGTCTTAGCAAAGCCGCCAGAGTGTTCTTCTGGAGGTCAGACGACAACACCTCCGTGTACCTTAGTCTACCTGGATAACACACACAAACAGGTAATAGTTATTACTTTTAACTGAGAGCTAAGGTGAAAACAGACAGAGGCAATTAAAAAAAAAAAAGATATGAATTTTGAGAGAGCGAGAAAGAGAGAGAGAAACCTGCAAGAAGATGTTTGATGATGAACTTCCGGACGGCAGGAATAAACTGTTTTTCTGTCAGCACCTCGGGGGCCTCTTCACACAGGAACCTACACACCACCTGGGACCACACACACACACACACACACACACACACACACATCAAGGTTAATGCTGTGTTGACAGTGCCCTCTAAAGGACATCAGCTGTTAAGCACACACACACACACACACACACACACATACATTTAAAGAGTTCTGATACTATAACATCAATTTGTTCATGAAAATAAGCATGATGATGATGATGATGATGATGATGATGATGATGATGATGATGATGATGATGATACACATTTGTCCTGTATACACAGTATGTGCGCATGCACAAGTTTCTTGTTGAATTCTAACAAAAATTTAATTTAATAACGATTATGAATAAAATCAAATTAAGCCTCCAGGAAAATGATACTTTGAAATAAACTTTTTTTGTATCATAAATGCATGATGTATATCTTTTTTGGACTGATTCACATGCTGTGCAAAAAAATCATGGTTTTACATAGACAAAAAAACACATAAATGCTCTGCTAGATTTACAGATCTACATTTAAAAGGTATACTATGTGGGATTTTCTTTAAAAAAAATGCAAAAGTAATCCCTGTCAGTCATCACTAATGACCCACTAGAGGTGTGCGGTAGTGTATTTATCTGCAGAGACTGTATTTTCTTCTTATTTTGCTGTGTACAGGACATCTCCAGGCTGCAGCCATTGGGCGTGACTGTGTAGCCACCAGCCGCTAACAGCACACAGGGTGTGAGGAACTGTATAAAACTATAGCTATCGCTGACTCTGTCTCTCTCTGCTGTCTGTGTGTGTCATGTTGTATAAAGAGCTGCAGGTCTGTGTGTGACTGTTCGACCGAGGGTGGGGCTGAGCTACACGCACACACACACACACACACACACACACACACACACACACACACACACACACACACAGTGCAGAGAGGCCACAGCGGACAAGAAGAAGTGTGCGCTTCGGCTGCATTCACACAGATTCTGATAATGCGGCACCTTCCCGCAGGGTTGTGCAGAGGTGTGGGTGTGTTTATTTGTGCTTTAGAACGTAACCGCCATGACAGAATTACAAAATAATGTTTTATTTCTCTTATTTACTGCTTGGTTACTTGATGCAAATTAGAAACAGTAAATGGCCAAGAACAAAACATGACTAAAGTAATGTTATAAGACTGAACAAAACGTTGCAAAAACAAACTGTCACCGCTTTCCAAGTCTAATAAGGTTCGGAGGCTTATTAATAATGTGGCCTAAATACAGTATTGGAGGTGCACATTTCTGTATACGAAGCATGTCATAGTCAACATTTTCAAAACTAAACTGTGTGCGTCTTGTTCACCTGGTATCCCTGTAAGAAGGGATCTAACATACTGGTGAGGAACACCAGTGTCCTGTGTCCTCTCTCCGTCACCAGAACCTCCTGCTGGGTGACCTGCAGAGCTCCGGTCTTCACCAGGAGGAAACAGGCCTCCTCAAAGTCCTACAAGACACACAACATGAAAAATAAAAACCACACTGCATGTCTGTATGGCCATATAATTATGTATTTACTGCAAGTTCATTCAATTCCCCACACTTAAACATCTATTTCCTGTACATGAGTGTATAAAAATGTTCCTCACCTGCACAGTAGCTCCAGGACAGAGGATGAACTCATTAGAGAACATGTTTCTGAGGAAGCTGAAGCTGTTGAACACCTCCTCTGGAAAACACACAAAGATTAACATGCAGTAGAAGTAGCCAGTATGCATTCTAAATGTCTGATATTTATCCAGCTGTGTCATAGTTGGCTTTCTAATGTAAATATTGGAACGCAAAGAAGGATTCTCAGGTAACGCTGAATTCCTTCAAAGGGCTGAAAAGGAATTTAATTTCCTTTATTTCCTGAGGTTTCACATTTTTACACTTTCTGTCACAAACACAGTTTAAAATATATTTATTCAAGCAGAGTGGTCCTTCAAATAGATAAATTCCAGAAAATTACACCATTAAAACAATTTAGTTTGTGGTTTTCCATCTTTACTTGCTTCACGTCAGTCGTAATGACTCAGTGAGCAGAGAGCAGCAGAGGTAAACGTGTAAACAGCTGTGTCAGTCTCACGTTTCTGGTTGGAGGCAGCAGTGTGGATGGCCGCAGCCAGCAGTGCCGGTCGGAGGAAGACGTGCAGTGCCTGGTTCCTGTAGGAGGCACAGGAGAGTACGACGACCGCCCGGCTCAAGAGCTCCTCTTCTGGGGTGGCAAGAGTGCTGCGAGGCTCCCCTGGCCCCGCCTGCCCCCCTGCTTCAAGACCAAGATGTACAGTCAGAAGATGGCAAAACTGTTTTTCATGCATTTCCTGCAATTGCTGTAGTTGTATAACCTCTGCCTTTAATTTCTGTCTGTATTTGACATTTACAAATACACAGTGACTGATTACTTTATCTGTCTAAAGCAGAGTGGATTTGTAGGCTGCAAAAAAGCCTAAGAAATTTGACAGAGTTTGCGTTTGTTCATAAAAAAAAAAGTAATTGACATAGAATTGATAATAAAGAACATTTAGCAAAATCATCAATCACACTGCCTCAGTCATGTTTTTACAGACTTCAAAAGATCAAGATGTATTTACATGAAAAGCTCACACTCTTATCTGTGTCTCAGTTGTTGGGGAACACTTTCTTATCACACTTTTTCCATGCACACTGTTCTGATATGATCAGTCAATTATCACAGAAGAATGTAGCCCTGGTACTGTTTGTACCGGACTGTAAGTCACTCTCTCAGCTAGATGCCTAAATGTACCAAGGAACTTAACTTTGAAGGACTGTGCTGATATTAAAAGGAATTAAAAAACAAAAAAAAAACAAAAAAAACAAGGACATGAAAAAAATAAAAATAAAGGCAAGAACATCAAACAAATAAATACAAACCTTGTTCCAATGCCAGCTGCACTCTTCCCTCAGACATCTTCACTAGACCTCGATGCAGGGAAAGACTGGAGGAGATGACGTCTGGTGGAGGCATGTGGTCTGAATGAGAAAGGAAAGACAGAATAGACAGAAGTGGATGAGAAAAAGAAGAAGAAGAAGAAGACGAAGAAGAAGAAGAAGAAGAGGACACAGATGTTACAGCCACAGAGGAATGATAGTTGTATGTAAAATAAAAAAGGCACATGTGCTGCAGAACTCTTGCCTTAGTGACATGGAGGATCAGACTTAATCAATATGGAAATCTGTGTTTTCAAAAAGGCCATAATCTAAATCTCATTATTGTACATCATCTACTCCACAGAGCGGACCTGTGGTTTAATGTTAAAGCTCTCAGTCTTTTTGGTACTTGAGTTAAAAAATAGATGCAACTCTTGACTTCATACCCACAGCATGTGAAAGAAACTGTCAACATCTGTCTTAGGTTTTAATTTCTAGACGCTACATGAATGTGCCTTAGTCTCTTGACTGTGCCTTTAAGAAGAAGTAAAAAAACAAAAAATAATTAAAACTATTTTGCTACAAGTGTTTTGTATTTTTGTTTTCAGTAATTATGAATATTTCAATTCCAGCAAACTTCTGCATTTGTGTTTAAAAAAGGTTTTATCACATATTTTTGTCTGAAATATCAAATCTCAATTATCAGCCTTATAAATTCAGTATTAGTAAGACTCTAGTTTAGTTTATACCAACATGGTTTGATGCCACCAATAAGCTCAAACACCACAATAGATTTTCAACAGGGGCCTTTTGTTAGTCAAAACCCTTGAGTACACAGAGTCTCCAGTATCACTGTGAAGACACTGAATCTGCCTGAAGGGGGGGGGGGGGGCTCGGATCATACTGTACCAGGCCAGTGCAGGAAGGCCCCATACTGTCTAGAAAGATCTCGCAGCCACACAGCTTGTTCAGTCAGCTCGTCCAGTGCCATCCCCGGGTTCTGCCCTGACGCCTGGTTCTGGTGGTGGTTCTGGAGTAGCAGAGAGGCCAGGAGCACCCACGGCTTCAGGACCATGTTCTCCTCCTGGGCCCGGACCAGCCTGTAGGCCGAGTCATTCACAAAGCTCTGGATATCCTCACTAGGCCTGTTGGGGACGTGTCTGGAAAGGGAAAGCTTATATAATCAGTAACTACAGTATATGCACAAAACAAAAAATGATATTTTGAGTTTTTTTTTTAGTTTCCAGATAATTTCCTGCTGGTGTATCGTACCTTGGTATCAGGTTGAATTGGCAGCGGTTAATTCTGCCCTCTGCTAAACTTCTGACGGACACAGGTTGACCGAAGTAGACATGGATACTGCCGTAGTCTTCACTGAGGACCTTCCTGGCTTTAAACAGACCCTGCAGGAGGAGAGAGAACAAGGGAAGCAGTCCATCACTTAGTAAATACAAATAGATGTTTTTCAGGCTGCAAAATAACAACTTTTGATTTCAACAATTTTACAGCTTTTCCTGCGCATGACCATGAATGTGTGGTATGTTATTTTCACACTGATTTTCCGTTCATACAATATAAACAAGTCCAATGTTAAAGTGACTCACTGAAGTGGACTCCTTGGGTTTGGGTACACCCAGCATTTCTCTGGCGTAGAGCGCCTCCTCCAAGATCCTCTCATAGCTGATACTGACCGGGACCAAGCTCACGTCGAACACTTCCCCTTTAAAGTATGGATCCATCACTATATTCAACAGACCTGCAGGAAGTCAAACACAAGACAGTCTCAAAAAACTGGACTTGACTTAAAAATTTGCTGATTAGAAACGATGAAAACTGCTTTTTTTTTTTTTTTTTTTTCAGTCAGTTTTATTTATTTATATATTTCAGGGTTTTACAATCAGTGCAGCATATGACTCTCCATCCTTAGACTGTCTATGTAATACTTTATGATTTAATAAGAAACTGTACTGGCAAGAGAAACTATACAAAAACAAAACGAAGTATCTGATCTGTAGATGAGAGATAACTGTTACTTTTTTTTATTCCTCACCTAACTTTGGAGTCAAAGATTTGCATGTTCGGCTTCTGGTCCCTTCTAGGAAAAATTCAACAGGTGCAAATCCATTCTGGAGTTTAAAAAAAAAAAAAAAAAACAATCAAAAAATGTTAGTGTTAATTCTCTTCCAAAGCTTTATGACTAAAAAATAGAGAAATTATCATTTATGTCACAGACATTTTATGGACTGTGTTCCCTCTTTTTCACTGGAGGCTTTGCAATAACTGTAGAACATGGCTTTCAAACACTAATGTGGCCACTAGTCACTGCTCCTGAACCTAAGGACAAACATTTCACTCCCTAATAACAAAGACTGTGGAAAAACAACCGTGTAACCTCACTTTAAGCATGGTCTTGACATATTCCGAGAAGACGGCCCAGTACAGCTTGTCTCCTCCGAAGGACCGCCGAATGAAGAACGCACCAGACATCCGCAGCATCTCCCCCACAAACTTCATCCCCATGAAGTCTGCAGGGAGACAGTCACTTTTATTCCATTTTAATGAGGTGTTGCTAATATTCTGTCCTCCTCGTGAATGTAAATTGGGGTGGATAAAACATCAAAAACACCTTTCAGTACCACTGCGGTCCATATGCTTGTACATGTGTACTTAATAAATCGGTAACTCAGCATATACACTCATGTTCTTTCCCATGCTTACCCATGCCGGCAGCAATGACAGGTAGAGCCAGGTCGTAGGTGTACAGGATGTATGACATCAGCAGGAAGTCCATGTAACTACGGTGACTGGGCAGCAGGACAACCGGGTGCTCCTGAATGGCCTGTTGGAGCTAACCACAACAATGCAAACACAGGTTATGTGTGTGTTTTTAACTTTCCACGGACACTTGAGGTGTTGTTTGTGTTTCGGCTGTGTGCACACTCACCCTCTGGATGCCCTCTTCATTGACACAGATGCTCCTGAACAAGGTTTTAAAGACTTTGCTGAGTGTAAAGGCGAAGAAGCGAACAGTGCTGAGCTGCAGGCAATGAGCCATCTCCTCCAGGATGGCTGATGCCTCCTCCTGGATGTCATCGACAGCCCTGCTCATCTCTTTGGAAACCTGTACAATTCAAAAATCAAATACAAAATGACTGGATAATAGTAAAATGATGTTATAGAAAGTTTTAATATATTTAACATGGCCCTAATTTTTTTTTAACCCTGTTTATAATTTAACTGTCTGACACTCAGTGAGTAAAACTTGTCAACTTTGTCAGGTGTGTATTTGCAATAGTATAAAACTTTTTATAAACAAATTTTATATTTTACTATTAAAAATTAATAAACACTTTTCTGTTAATTAATTACAAAAATGTACACTTCTGCACCCACTTTAATGTGGTTTGATTAAACCCAATAATACAGAATGAAATTGTGATAAATAAATCATGTCAAAGTTCATGCAGTAGCTTGCACAAAGCTACAATCATGAAAAGTTTGGTAAAGACTACAAACTATAATTATAGAACTCATCTTAACTACCCTGACAAGTTGTTGCGTCAGATGTCTCTGTAATAACATCAGTCAGGTATAACAACATTCTGCTGTCAGAAACCTTCTACCCTACCTGATTGATGACGTAGTGCAGCTGATCAGACTGAAGCACCATGTTCTTCAGCGTGTCTGCTTTGCAGGGAGACACTCCTTTGTAAAGAATAGGAGTGTAACATCTGAGAGCGTATCTCAGGTCGCTGGAGTTCCTCCTCTCCTCCAAAATGTCCTCAAAGTCATCTCTTTTCTTCAGCATAGGGTCTCTATGCTAGATGAAAAAATAACATCAGACTGTATTAGAAAGGTGTATTCTGCTACAATAGAATACTTAAATATAGTGTTTTTTGTTCCCAAAATTCAGCATGCCAGGCAGTTACTTAAGCCATAATTGGAAGGGATATGTTTTAGTAGAAATTTTACCTGAAATAAATGTATTAATTAAGTATATTAAACCTTTTAGGTTGACCAAATATTGACAAGTGAGGTGTTACCGTTATATGGACAAATCACAGGTATGAACATTTTTGACCCTTTCTGTGATATCTGTTGATAGGGTCACAAAAAAAGTAATAAAACAGTGGCAATACTACAATGTCAAAAAACTCTGTTACAAGTAAAGGTCCTGATTTGCGAATGTAAGTAAAAGTAAAAGCACAATAATATTATCATATGGTACATCTTCAATGTGGAGCTAGTTTTTGGAGCTTAAACGACAGAAAAACTAATGTGCAACTATTCTGAAAATCCATTAGTTGTTAATGTCTAGTATTTATAAAAACTGCCAAACATTTAGTGGTCACCGCTTCTCCACTGTGTGGATTTTCCACTTTTTCCAGTTTCACGTTGTAGTAAACTGAATACATTTGGGTTTGGGACTATTGGTGAAATACTTCATCTTAAAACATCACATCGGGCTCTCGGAAATTGTCAGTTTTTCACAATTTTATGATGGTTTACAGACCAAACAATTTATAGATTAATCAAAAAAAATAAATCAGTAGATTAATCTGTTAGCTGAAGCCCTAATAGTTTTAGCTGCTTCATATCATGTTGTGTGGTTTAATCTTAACAATTCATATCTTATTTGTTCACCATTTTGTAAACAGTGATTAAAGCTCACAAATAACTACAGTGGGGTACACCAAGTACACCAAGTTTGGAGTTTATTAACTACACCTAGCTAAAAATAATGCAGTCTAATACAACAGTATTAGAAGTTTTGTAATAAATTCTCCTTCATTCTTTATAATGTTGTTTTTTTTTTTTAAATTGTTTTACAGCGGCATTGTTTCAACTGTATGATCGTCTTGGAGGATGTAGTTTGTGGTGCTGGTTTAACTGCATTGTATTATACAGAGAGAATGCACCTCCCCTGTTGACATAAGTGGGGTGCACAGAATAATAGAATTATCTGTCAGTATAACAATACAATTCAAGAGCACCACAAACTGCAGCCTCCAAAATGATCACACAGTTGAATCAACACCTCTCTGAAGCAGTTTCAACACAAATTGAATATTATAACCTTCATGAAGGAGGATTTACCGCTGCACTGTTGTATTCCACTGCATTAGTTTTAGCTGAGTGTGTCTAATGAACTGGCAACTGAGTGTATAAAGCACCATAAAATAAAACAATTTCAAGTCAAGCAGAGGCTGTGTTTATTTCTCATTAAAGGTGCTATACAAACAAATGCACTTAGTAAATTTCCAATACAGTGACGGAGAATACAAAACTAGCAGAGAGGGTGATAGGACCAGTATTGTGAAACACTGAAGGTTTACATCTTTTAAAAGGCAAGTAGGTATTGAAACATTGTGATGAACCACAAACGCAATAACACTGCACACTTGCAGAACAAAACTCTAAGAGTGGGATACCAATAGAAGAGATATAAAAGAGGACAACCGGAGATGTAAGAAAACATGTAGTCGAAGTTGCATGTTCGTCAACAGGCAAAACGGAGATTGCAAAACAAACATGTCTTGTAGAGGAAACACTGCCGCTAAACAAACCGTTAAACTAATTAAAGCAACTACAGGACAAAACAGTATGTTTCGAAGCTTTGTTGTAACAGAAATGTGAATTTGACAGTCACCTGTTTGAATGAAATGTCAAATGTCAAATAGTGGGCACCGAGCTACAGCAGAGAGCTAAGTTAGCTTAGCCTTGTGGCACAAGCAAAACATACATACCAAGTAAACCGCTTTGGAAGCCATAGTTTATCTCAGTTCATAAGCACATAGACGCCGCATCCAGTGAAGTTATACGTGCACGAGTATGTGTACGGTCCTGCCTCTTGTTATAATACTTTTGGTAGATAACAGCGGCTGCAGAACTTCACATGGGCGTGTTAATAGGTATTTCCGTGTCATATCCGTGCTACGGTGGCCCGGAAGGACCAACCCCAACCGTGTGTTCCATGTGCTTTACGGTTTGTTGTCATTCGTTTGAGCCGCTGCTAGCGTTTGGTGCAGCTATTAGCGGCTAGTTTTGCTATTTTTTCTGTGAACCTGTTTGTACCATCAGTTTAAAATGAATTCAAAGACAAACAGAAAAGAAGACGAAGATTTTCAGTTTCTTGAACAAGTTTTAGATAAGTTTTATGACTTTGGTAAGTGTAACGTTAGTTAGCTATGTGGCTAGCTTTACTAGCTACCGTTCCCTCTCTGATTTGTTTTACCATGGGACTGCTGGCTAGATATTACTGATAAAAATAGGAATAATGTATTCTTTGTGTTACTTAGCTTGTGATTAGCTTAGTCAGTATAACTGAACTGTTAGCTATGCCTTATGTTTCCCCATTTAACGTTACTTGGCAGCCATGGTAACCATCACTTACAGCACATAGGCATTCAGTCAGTCGTTTTATTCTTATCAATTTAAACCGTAAAAGGTGATTATTAATGAATGCAATGTCCTACCAAATGTACCCAGTGTTTCGTAGAGTAACCGATTTGAGGTACACTATGAAGGTAAAATCCATGTAACAAGTAAACACACATAAAAGTCTGCAAAGGTTTGTGCAACCTTCGCCAAATTAAAATGTTTTGTGGATTTGTTTTAAGGTAAAATGAAGCAAGTACAACCTCTGCAGCAAAGAGATATTACAAGTATCCTTTCTTCACACATAATTTAGCTGATTTTTTATTTCATACAATAAGGACCTGAAAAAAACAGTTATCATGGAATGTACAACAGATGGAGCCTGGTAAAAAGTCAGTATTTGGTAACAGATATTACAGCTTGCAAACACTTTTTGTGGCAGCTAAGAGTCTTTCTGTTTTTATTTGATTAATTTTCAGCCACTCTTCCTGCAGATCACTTAAAGTTTTGAGATATTTTAGGCTGTCTTGCACACACAGCATGTTAATAATGTACCCGCATATTTTCTGTGAGGTCAAGGGACAGGTAGGGAAAGGTAGGCTTTTGTCTTCTTAGACTGCATTGGTTTTTATCTTGGTGTACCTAATAAACTGGAAACTCACTATATTAAATTGCTTAGATTGTGTGTAATAAATTATGTATAAACACAAAGACAAATGTTGACATCTGACAGTAGAGTAATTTGATCTTGATCGAAGGTTGTGTCCTGCTCGTCACTAAAGAAATGATGTTAAGGACACAGCCAAGTTAATCATGTTTACCAAAAGTTACAGGGACTGAAATCTTACTGATTTACTTCATGTTAGTTTTGTTGACTAATATTGCAGGTAATGGACCAGCATCAAAAAAGAAGCTCAAGTCTCAGAAGAAAAAAAAACGAAAACAATGTGAGAAAGAAGAGGAAGAGTTCACTACAGTCAAGGATGTTTGCAGTGACACTGACGACTATAGATCAGCATGTACTAGTGCTGACCACCAGCAGCAACAACCACAGACTGAGCCAACAGGTAGGCGCCATGGCGACAAGCTGCGTAACAACACATGGTATAAACTTTCAAAATTGAACCTTTTTTCATTGGTTTAATTTATCATGTCTTACTTAGGTCCAACCTTCCAGCAGATGAACCAGGTGGAGGTAGTGACATTTCAAGATCCCAGAAAGAAACTGAAGACCAAGCAGACACCGGCCACAGACAAAATACCTGTAAGTCAGTGCTACTTCAGCTTACTCTGTATACTCCACAATAAAAGGACAGATGATGCTAACAAAGTTAAACGTAGACTGATGATATGATGGGTAAATTGATGTTTGTTCTGAAAACAGTTAAGGGACAGTAACAAAAAGATGAAACTTGTAGAAGAAAACAAACTTGATTTGTCGGACTTGGTTAGCTGAAGCCTCATTAATTTTAGGTAAACTTTTGACTACACCTTTGCATAGGTTTGCATATGGGTTTTACCCCCTATCACATTGGAAGCCAGTATGACAGGAGGAATGATTAAGGATGCAAGCAAATCCCGTTTCGATGTTCATACGGGCACCTGATTATTGTTTTTAGGACAGACTAAAGTAATAAGATAACACCACATTTGCAAAGTAGGATGATTTGTAATAGCCCAGGTCAAGAATCCAAAACATGTCAGTTTACTTGGACACCTCAGTTTGGCCTGTCTGATATGTTGTTATCAGATTAACATTTATTATTATTATTATTTTCCAAAAAAATAATGATATCGGCACCAGTGTGAGAGTTGAGGTGATTGAGTTTAAATGACCTGGACCTAAAAATCTTGTGTCACTCTGTTCTGAGAAAATTATCAGCCTTTTGCACCTCATTGTGTGTCACCACCAGTTTTTGTCCAAAGAAATAGTGGAAGAAGTACAGCTGAGGAACTGTATCAGTCTTAAATTTACAAGTAATCTACTTGTGCATATGCAGCATTTATTTTCATTCCGGAAACTCTGACATTTTGAAACCAAACCCCCCTCCATGCTACTGTGTGACCCCTGGTCAGCCTCCTCTGTTTATGTTTTTCTCATCACCACACAGTCATTTCACATGCCCTCTCCTCCTGTCTTTGTTGCCTTTGTCTCTGTGCTGTCATCACTTCAAGGCTCGTCAGATAACGGAGGATAAGCAAAGTGACCAGTCGGAAGAACTCAATTTTGAAAAGGTGACAATTTTAATACAATTTACTCCGTTTTTTTCCTATATTCAGTGCTTTTATATTGATGATTTACTGAGTAATTAGAAAATTAGTTCGACTGTAAATTTTCAGTCTTGTTGTGTGTACATTGATTCTTCTCATGGCTTCATTTGATTCCTGTGTCATTTAGTAGAAATACTTATTTTGGATGTGACCATTTAATCTGTGTGATAAAGTCTCATATTGTATTTGTGTACGTTCACGTCAGGCTCGTCTGGAGGTCCATCGGTTCGGAATCACAGGCTATAAGAAGGAGCAGCAGCGGGTTTTTGAGCAGGACCGAGCGGTCATGCTCGGAGCCAGAGTAAGTACAACTCAGGACTGTCCTCAGCATCACACCATTAAGTTCTTCAAATAGCTGAGTGAGCAATGAATTGACTCAATTGTTGTCTCTTAATCAGCCTCCTAAGAAGGACTATGTCAACTACAAGGTGCTACAGCAGCAGGTCAAAGAAAAGAAGCAGAAAGCAAAGGAGGAGGTTCAGCCGGTAAGACCTGCACCTTCAGTCAGTCTCGGGTGTAAACCATGGCTGGTGATTCTGGAGGACGCAGTTTGTGATGCTGTTGCATAGAGGTGATTCTGTTATTAAGTCAACCCTTGTTGATGTTAATGGGGTGGACAAAGTAATAGAAACACCAGTTTAAAGAAAAACTAACTGGCAGCTGAGTGTCTATTGTTAGCTGGTCAGTTAAAAGGTTATGGGAACTTTAATTTCATAAAAGTTTCATAGTATTATCATAACGGTAATTTAAGAATATATGCTGTTAAATTCTGATTCTAACCATGTTTACCTGCCCTGTAGGAGCTGAAGAAAAAGAAGAAGCAGAATAATCAGAGGTGGGTGAACTGTCAAAAGCTGTTGGCATATATTTTCTGTCAAGTGTCCTTGAATCTTGATATCCTTATAATATAGTACATAATTATTATTATCTAAGTAGGTCTTAAATACAGAAAACAACATGTCATCATAATCTGTGAATAGAAAACATAGCACTAGTATTTTTTTCTAACATCCTCCAAGATTATAAAATTGCCAGTTAACAGATGTTTATACAGACTCTTTTGTTGCATCTCTGTGGTTGAATCCTCATTTTTCCTGTGCTGTCATTTCCATCAGGGACAAGAAGAAGGTGTCCTCTGGTTCTGGCTCAGCCCCTACAGGTCAGGTGGGGCGCTTCAAGAACGGCATGCTGATCCTGAGCTCCAAGGAGATCCAGAAAATCAAAGGCAAAAAGGGAGGCAAATAGGTTTGTTCTTGTACTTCTACTAAACGTCCTAACAGAAAGTGAAAGATGAGAAAATCCAAAGTCTGAAACACTCTCTGGTCTTCAGTTAAAACTAGTTTTAAGGTTAGTTTTACAACTGGAACAAGTAAAGGATTAGCTAAGGTAAGACATCTAATAATGATGGTTAATGAGAGTCAATGTGGTCACTGATTTAAATGTGTGTGCTTATGTTTGTAGGTGAGTGATTAAATCCTCCATGGTGGGAAAATATCAGCAGACCAGAGGAACAACGGGCAACTCACTGCAGGACCGTTTGGAGCCAAACATGTGGTGAAGAGGAAATGAGCGAGAGCTGATTACGATGTGACCAGCGAGGCTGATTCCTTGACAGCACGTGACCGGCCTGCAGTGAAATACGGGGCAGTGTTACAGGCGACAGACTGCTGAGTCAGAAATCCAATTTATCGATCTCCAAAATGGAACCTGAACGTCCACTGTGGCAGCACAATAATGCATGAAACTGGAGAGTCTGTTGAATCATATTCCATCACAATTAATTTATTTTGTTTTATAAATGACCAAAAAAAAAAAAAGAAGACATTTGCGTTTGTTTTTTTTTTACACTGTAAAGGTTTTAAAATTAAGCAGTTACAATGCGTTTCTCATATACAAACCATGTAGTCGTACAAAACATTTACATTGGCGGGAAGAGAGGGGATCATAACAGGACGTATGGCCGGGGTAAATATTAAAAACCAATGTACACACAAGTAAAGTCCTGGCAGAAGTTTCCATGAAGAAACACACATATAAACACTTTGAATGGACCATGAGGAAGCAGAATGGTCTCGCCAGTGCCGTATTTCTCCCTTATTAAAACCCTATGTACAGGACTTCTCGAAAGCCTCAGGAAGCTGTGCTCTAGATGTAAACATTAAGTCTTTACAGAAACCAGTTCGTTACATTTTGTTAAAGGGAAATCATAAATGTCGATGGACGATGGCGACGATGAAAAACGTGTGATCTGGCAGTGTGCGGCTGGGTGAGGTCACAACTTCTCACACCGTTTCCATGAAGTAGCTTATTGTGTTATTTATATGTTTCAAAACGGAAGAGGGCGAGGAAATAGGAAGCTTATCTGCAGCACATCACACGTTTCAAGCTGTAAGCAAAACCAGTTTTATTTTTAATAGATTTTTTAGCCGGCAAGCCTTTGTTTTTTCAACCTGCAAGCCTTGGCAATCAACCACAGACAATGTGTATAATCAGTAGCCATTCAACTGTTATACTGAACAAATTGAGGAGGGCATTATACAAAAGAAAATAAAAATGTAATTAATTATATTTACATAGAGTAGATGGTTTTTTTTCCTCTGCTGTTTTTTTTTTTAAGTTAAATAGCTGATAACAGCAGTGACATGCTTTTTTCCCAGCACCATATGTTGAAGTTAAATTAGTAAAATATGTCACATTCATGGGTGGGTAAGTGTTGAGTAAAGGGACATGCCATATAATACATCTAGACAGGAGTGACTACGAGTGAATCATTTTAAATATGTGGTTTTTGTCTGTATCTGTCAAATAAAGCAATGTTTTCATATGAATTTTAGAAGGGAAAAGAAAAGGTGGAACCCCATTTTACCTGATAAATACTCTGACTTCCTAAACCTCTGCAACTCTGAATCTAAGTGCCTTAGTATAAGCTTTTATTCCCTCTGGTCCAGATTTCCTGTGTGCCATTTTGACATTGACACAGCCTGCAGGAATGTAACCCCAACTCATACAGACTTGCAGAAGGAGAAAAAAATTATTCCCCTGATGCCATGATAGACGTCTCACTTCGCTCGTGGGCCTAAAATCTATTTCTGGTTAGAGCAAAATCAACCTCGGGGCAGGTTTCTCCTCTGGTGTGGGAGGTGGGAGGACGGTCAGAGGGGAACGCTGCGTATAGTTGAGCCGAGGAGCCAGAAAGCCTCACATTGATGCAAATGTAGCCCTTAGGTGGGAGCTGGCAGTCTGGCACATGTCAGAAAAAAATCCCCTTTGGCAGAGAGTTAGATGTGGTTTCTGGGTCGGGAGAAACTCACTCACTTTTACACTAATGCTGCATTCATGTCATATGGGAAAGATCGTAAATATAAGTTTGCTGTTAGGAGACAGAAAAACTCTTTGTCTTCAGTGATTCAGCGTCTTGACCTGCAGTCAAGCACGGAGGGTGTTATTATAGGTGGCAGACCATATGAGTGCATGCCACTTGAAATTCAAATATAATGATAATATGATAATGATTTTTTTTTGGCTGGAGACAAAGCTGTAGAAACAACACTGTCATATTATCACCTTCTAAGTTTATTTGGTAATAATATTGCGTATTTACACATCAAGCAGACAAGTAGAAACATTAATATTTATTTGGAGTTGTGTTTTTGTCCACCAGGTTAATATTCACTCCCATTTTAGCTCTGTTTTTGGTCTCCACGAAATCCTGAGGGAAATACTTGGCTCCTTAGCTGCTAAATGCTCCACTTTCATTAGCTAACTGTTGTTAACTGTGTCTGTCTAGTGTTCGGTGTTGGAGAAGTTGCTTTCACTGGGGTTTTTAGAGCTTTTTTGCTGAAAATGGCTGCCTGCCATCCAAAAACAGTAAAGTTGCCAGTCTGAAAACCAAAACAATGAGCTAAAGGATGCTAAAACGCTCAGTAGAGCAGAGACGAACTGCAGAGTCGGATGATAAGTCTGTGAATTCTGCAGCAACTTCTGTTACATTACACCAAGTCATTTGAAAAATGTAATTGATTATGGCCACATTTCCCACTTAATTTGAACTTACTGCAGACAGACTTAAATGATAATGAATATACCTACAGTTTGCTATTCTAGGATGTAAGTGTCATCGATTTCACATTCTAGGTAACAGCTATGATTCATAAATAAATATATAATCCCATCCCCCATCTCCCGAAAAGGCTCAATCCTTATTCTTCAGTACTTCATTCATTAAATAGAAGAAACCACAAATGGTAAGAAAAACAACAACAAATGTACAGATATTTCCTTAGTTTACTACTCTAGAACTCTACTAATAACTAAATTATTTTAAAATAGTTGTTGTATTGAAAATATACCTCAATAATTCCAGTAATAAATACCTTTTGTAGCTTACTGTTGTTCTGTATCATTAAGTCATATGGTATATTCAAAGTTTGTTGTGAACTGTGAATTTTACAGAATAAAGGTGTGATAAGTAAGATATAATAATCATAATAATTTATCAACATAAAAACTTTTAAACATGTAAATGACTGCTATTTTATGTCCCTGATTAAATGTTTGAATATTTTGAGATAGTTGACACAAAATGTTTGCTGACATTAAAAAACATTAAAAAAAAAAGAAAGAAAAAAAAGTCAGCCATTAAAGGTATGAAAACACAGTTGGCTATTATTCTCCAACAGGATTAGACGGGAAATGCATTAATCCTGTCATTGCCACTATTGAACAGCAGAGGGCGAGCTGTCACAGCAGTTGGCTTTAACATCACTCATTGCAAAGACAGTAATACAGTACACTATTTACAATACAGCTTCAGATATTTTGTAAACTTGTTTGATGCTTAATCCATGCTTAATATCACACATCGTAATCATAACTCACGTATCACTATGTACAGTTTGTGGATTCCCATACACACATGACCCTTTTATCTCAGGTCTGTCTATACTTCTAATGACTCCTCTTTCTCACACACACACTTTCATATTATTATAGGGAATAGAAATATTTCAATATTGTAATAAAATCCATGATTAAATAAATTAAATTTAAAAAGAAACTTCTCCACTCTCAGCTGCATTAAGATAAAACATAGAATATACAGGGGCGTACAGGTATGTCAAAGCAGTATTATATCCTTAGTCACAGTGGTTTGGTTGAATTTTGATGCTTTACAGGCTGCCGTATCCAATCCCTGATGAGAAACGTAGCAGCAAATGTAGCTTTACCTGATGTGACTTCAAGGTCATTTTCAGTTCGACAGATTAAAAAGGTGGCTGAAGCTCTACCGAGAGACTGAAAGATGAGCACAGAATAAAATTACCATGAGAGGATCATACTTTTCTCATCTACCTCTGATGTATTATAGTAGTTATTGGCCATATAAAACAAAACAAAAAATAAGTTGAGGCTCATTTCCATTTCATTTCAGCATTTTCTGACATTCATCCCTCAAGGTGAAAACAATTCTTTGTGAGACTGTGTGTGTACAGAGCCTGGGAGAGGCTTCATTTTGAATAACTCAACAGGACATGGTACAAACTGTTTGTACACAATTATATCAACACATGGTCCCAAATTTTATTAAATGCTTCAGGCATATTGTAATCTCTAACCTCACTTAAACACCGGTGAATCCGTCATTATAAACCTCAAACATGATTAACATAAATAATCCAATTTGAGTTTCTATAAATAGTTCAACTTTTGGAAGAACACTTACTCACTTTTTTGCCAAGAGTTAGATGAGAAGATTGATAATGCTTTCATGTGTGTAGGATAAATATGAAGCCACAGTTTGTTAGCTTAGCATAAAGACTAGAAACGAGGGGAAACTGCTAGCCTAGCTCTGTCACAGCAAAATCCATTAACCTCCATTAACACCTCAAAAGATCACTAAATAATAAGCTATATCTTCTTTGTTTAATCTGTACAATAATAAAAACCCTCCCTATGTCTTTATGCTAAGCTAAGAAGCAGTCGTGTGTAACCTTACATGTAATAGACACATATGAGAATTGTATTGATCTTCTCATCTAACTTTCAGCATGAAAGCAAATAAGTGTATTTTCATAAATGTTGCTGAATTACTTTACCTTAAAGGAGCTATTTGTAAGTTTTGCTATTGCTACATAGCCAGTGTTAGCATTAACAGCTGTTTACGTACCAGTCTTGCCAAGAGCTTCAGCCTTTGTTGCGTTTACAATACAAGAGGTTATAACATGGCCACAAAGCAGCGCTACTTCGTCAGGCAGACTAGATGCTACAGTGACTTGGTATCGGAAAATGACGAGATGATCCGGTCGGGCCAGGGCTAGCTGGTTAGCATGCTAACTTCAGTAGAAGTAATAGAAATAGAAGCAAGAGGGCTGCTTTCCACCTTTGGAGACAGCTCTTGTGGAGTAAAGGAACAAAGTTTAATTCTGAACTCACAATGTTTCTTCTAGACTGGTGAGTAAACAGCTGCTAATGCTAACGTTAGCTATGTAGCAATAGCAGAACTTATGAATAGCTCCTTTAAATAGCAAGTATGAAGGTTTGCTGAGCGACATTATACAGGCTCTTGTAGTTCTCTTCTTATTCCACCACTTGAATCAGATCGACATATGTAGTGCATGAAGTTGTAATGGGTTAATCACAGTTTACCAGAAACTCTACAGCTATGAAAACCTATTTGTAAATAACCCAGCTTGCCCCAATCTGCATAGCTGTCGGCAGATGTTTTTTGTCCCAAAAAGAAATGCACCAAAGTGAATTTAGAATAAAACATTTCATTTTAAATGACCACTCCCAGGCTCCGTAGATCTTTCAAATTCCTGAAAAATGAAATGGAATAAAGCCCAAACCTTCCCAGCTCGACCTGAGTGAGTAAACCTCACTGACAGCAGCACCAAATGAGAGAGAGTTCATCACGAGGAGAGCTTTTTTATGTCTGTCAGGCTCCTACCCACAGAAAAGAAATCATTTCTCCATTAAACTCAAACCCAGGAGGAAACAAACGGGGAAAACAGAGAAGGCAGCGCTGTTGTAGCCACAACTGGGATAAAAGTGTACACTGAAGGTTTAGCTTTTCAATATTTCATGAGCGAAACAACCCGCAGTGCCACTACAACTCCTACAAAAGGCTCTCTTCATCTAGTTTGAGCTTGCAAGCTGTAAACACACCTGAGAGAGACGCAGAGCGAAATCATTTCTCCCTCGTTTTTCACCCCCTGAAAGCACCATGTTACTGTAGATTTATTTTTTAAAACGATGGTGTAACATTTCTGATGGTATATCTTACAATCCCTTTTCATTATTTTTTTATCACGAAACTATTTGACTGCACAGTGTAGAAGTCTTTACCGTTGATTTGGTCGGAGCAGGGGGGTTGATAAGTTTGGTTTCAGGCCTCGAGAAGTTTCAGGCTGTATTTTCCTTCTTGATGGAATCAAGGAATGGATGGAATGGTACAAGCTGGAATAATAATATCAGGATATGGAAAAAGTATGGCAATCCACAGTAACTCCAGTTATATCTGTAGCAACGTCCACGAGATTCAATCATCTTATTTATGGCCAATAATAACTCAGATTTTATTCGTTCGTCCCAAATGATCAGACAGGGTTTCACACTGGGGGCACCTTGAGAAGGATGAGAAAGGAAAAGGTCCACGTGGGAGTAAACTGAGGCTGCGTATATGTGACATCATATGTTTGTATCCAGGGCACGCTCAGGGGGGAGGAGGAAGGAGCTCCTACTGTTTGATATTCTTTGGCACCTCCAGGCCGGTCAGTAAGGTCACCTGAAACAGACAAACACTCGGTGAGATCACAGCTGAGTGAGGATGTGAAAAGATCAGACAGGCTACATAAGAGTCCAGCTGGATGTCAGACACACGCCAGTATTTGATATTTAGTTTAATTTGGAGAAGGCACATTCGACCACTTGAGTTTTCTGAAACGCACTTGACAAATACTCGAGATCACACACATGATAATGAGTTGGATTTAGGTAACAGTCACTTTGCAGCCAGCTGGATTAAACCACTCTCAATAATCGCCTGAATTTGGGGCATATATTTCACAGCTATTTGCAGTTTTGGATTAGGAATGGATTTAGGGAACCCTCTGTTTGCTACTCTTTAAAATACTTATTAAGAATGTGCTCCACTTTAGGGATGCATCAGGTCTTCAGTTGAATTTTTAATGATGGAGTTTTGCAGCTAGGCTTTTTTTTTTTTTTATAAATCTATGTCTCTGTGTTGTAATACTTCAACAGATACAGTACATCTGTTGCCTCTCTACGTGTGTCTGCCCTGGAAAAGGGAGCATTTTTTTCTTATCGGAAGCAAGGACTAAAGATGAAGGGCGTTCTGTGCCATACTGGTTGTAAAGGTCCAAGACAAACCTAAATAATTATGTGATTTGACTGGACTTGTTATCAAGTTTCAAGGATAAGGATGATTTGAGCGAGCAGTGGCGCAACAACGCCGCCTGAAGTCACTCGATTATTCACTGTTCCTGATAAGAAAAAAAAAGAAAAAAGATTATGTTTCTCTGATGTGCCTCTGGTTGTAAACATTTAAAGCGCGAGTTGAGAAAAGCTCAGCAAGTGGTTTACTACCCTTAAGAGCTCCTCTTGAACTCCCACATCCCAGTTCAGATGTTACAAACACAACTCGGTGCTTCATTCAAGAGCTTTGGGTCATTAATAGCAGCAAAACAGACATCAGACCTGTGATTTTTGCAATTGTTTTGTCTATAAAAAATGCACGAGTTCCCAGAATCTAATGCTGTGGTGTCTGTGATGACCAGAGACAAGGAGCAGTTAAGAGGCTGGAAGCAGCAAATCTTTGGCATTTTGTTTGATTAATGAGTTGAAGGAATGATCATTTATCAAAAGTTGTCGAGGATTAATTTTCTGCCAACAGCCGAACGATCAATCAACTAATTGTTTCAGCTCTGATTTTAATGTTGGAGATTGTCATTCCTAAATGTAAGACAGTGCAATACTGAACTCTTTGCAAACTTCAGTGCACACTCACAATAAAGTGTCTGGTATCCACAAAAGGTTTATCACTCAGGTCATCAGAATACATCATCAACTACCATCTCTCACACACACACACACACACACACACACACACACACACACACACACTGACCTGTACGTTTCTGTTGAGGCTGACAGCTGGCACAAAGACCCCGTCCAGGTTCTCGAAGGCAGTCGGTCCGTGCTGCTCCTTGTTGATGTAGAAGGTCAGAGTGTGTTTGGTCAGATCCAGCAGGATGCCCACAGTGGAGCCCTTAGTGATGCCTCCCTCTGCCCTACACACACACACACACACACACACACACACACACACACACACACACACACACACACACACAGATAAAGATTTGTTGTAAACAAAGAGAAAGTGGGACAGATGGTGTAACTGTACATTCGAAATGCAAGTGAAAGTAAACAGAAGCGTTTCGAAATTTACTAAAAGTCTACTCTCTATAACATGGACAATACAAAAGCTAATGTGTGGAACACATGAAAACAGACTGACATCTGACTGACTTCATTCAAATATTATAGAAATCTTTTCTCTTCTGTCTTTCATTCTTTTATTGTTTCCCTACAGCTCTATTAAAAACACGATCAAACCGGATCTACGCCTGTTAGCGTAAAGCCTTTTTCTGCGTCTACTGTTAAATTGGCCACCACTGTTTCTTTGTTGTTGTTGCTGTTGTTGTTGTTGTTGTTGTTGTTGTTGTTATTGATGTTTTGATTGATGTTACTGGCACATTTCATTTGCAAACAAAAACCTGCATCGTGTGTGTGTGTGAGCCCTAGGAACTACATTTTATTGATATTCAAAACACAAAAGCAAGAGATCAAAATTAGTTGTATGGATAAAGTAACAGCTGGTGTGTTACTTTGATGTCATTTAGCATTTTGTTGGTAAGTAGTCATGGTATAAGCAGGATAACACCCATGATTGTAATGGATGATGTGAGGGCTAAGCCAGCTAACACAAAGCAAAGTGGCGGGTATTATCCCATAAACAAACAAGTATTAGAAGATTGTTGTTTTATTATACATATGACAATAAAGAGACGTGCTTCAAAGAAAAGTAAAATTAAAATCCTGTGTTCGGTGATTTAGATTTGTTTTTACAACCTCATCAAAACTTTAGCTTGGGAAATCATACTGTATCAGTGCATATCCTCTGTGGTACAGGGAAACAATGAACCGTTAAACCGTTACATTAAAAATCTAAACACAACTCCTGAAGTTGTGTTTTTAATTGTAAAATGTGTGTTTTGAAGCTAAGGTGTGAAACCACCTCTGTCCATATAAAACCTGCAAACTGCCACACTTCTCTGAGCTGTGTGCACAAACACAAGATGCAGCACCTGCCTGAGGACTGGCCTGTGTGAGGCTCAGAGAGATGGAGGAATCAATATGAGGTAAATATGAAACACAGACATGAGATGATTAATGGCATGAAAGCAAAATGGCACAGTGAATAAATCTGTAGTCTGGATGGACCGAGGTAGAGGGAGAGGAGAGAGATAAAGTCAGAGGTTTTACACATTCCTGTGAAGAGTCATTTTTTCCTTGTGAAGAAAAGACATCTTGGTGTAAATAAATGTTTAATGAGAGTTTGATAGCGTCCTTGTGACACAGAGAGAGATGGTGCACAGAGATGTTTTGATGTCTCCTGCAACCTGCAGTCTTCTTCTACTGCTCCCTAGTGTGTTAGTTAGTTGGTATTGTATGAGCCCTGGGGGGCCCTCTGTCATTCTGTGTATAGAGATATACATAACGATGAATGGAAGAGGAGAGCGCCACGTTACAAAGTCTCTGTCTCCTGCTGTTCTTGTTGACATACAAATGCTGCTGCAGCTCAGAATGAATATCATTCATTTTCTAATCAGGCACATGTTTACATGTCAAACTAACCGCCTAATTTATAAATATATAATTTATGTAATAACACATCAATGAAAACAACTTTTGAGTTGCCAGATAGTGAAAAAAAGCTAGTGAATGAAGCTAGTGTATGTGCTTCAGCTGCAGAGGTGATGAACTCTTGACTTATCATTCATAAGTGCAGACTTGTTATAAATAAAAGATTGTCAGTTTCTCACTTTAATAACTCGTCAGTTCTGCACTTATACTGGAAATGAGTTATTAATAAAGTGGTATTCCACTAGAACAGTCCAGCAAGTCTCCACTTATAAATTGATTTATATCAACTGAGTTTCTTTTACAACCTGGCAGCTCAAACATTGTTCTTATAAATAAATATTACTTAAGCAATATCACACTCGAGGCCGTGATGTTGTGCTGACTGAATCACAGCTGTGCTGATACACTCTTAACGCAGGATGCACTCAGACCTGGACCCAGTAGACCATCCGTCTCAGGTGATCCGATCACAAGTGAACAGCTCTAAGTACAGGTGTAAACCCTCCCCAGACACATTGAAGCACATTCTTTTAGCAGTGTGAACACGTATGTGTCCTGAGCCACACTGAAAGACCACCTACTCAACTCAAGTCCTCTGATTAGCCCCAACACAGTTTCATAATGAACCCTCCTTGTACGGTGGTGTTGGAGGATGATTTTGCAGTGCGTTTGTTTATTTGAATAAACAAATGAGCAAAAATGTGTGTGTGTGTGTGGGGGGGGGCGGGGGGGGGGGGTTGCAGTGCATGTGTTGGTCAAATTGGATAAAGATGTTTTCTGAATTTGCAGCACGTTATTTGCATGTGTTTTTCTTAAGTTGCCAGTGTGCGAGCTCTCTGGGCCACCGTACCTTGCCGTAACCTCTGTCATAGCCAGATTGGCTAAAAACAACAACGCATACGTTGCTATTTGCATATAAAGTGAGGAAGTGATGTTCTGATCACAAGTGGTCACTGGATAACGCATGTTAACACCATGGTCTGAAAAGGGCCTCAGTGGCCTGTTCTGAAGCTTTCAGCTGTTTCACACATGATCTTCTTCAGTTGATGGAAGCTGCCCAGCTGTCATGTCACTGTAGATGATCTGAGAAACTTCTTCATCCATCTTAAAAATAAAAAGGTGATTGAACTTTCAGAAGAGAAAGTTCTTAAGTGCTTAAAGGGGGAAACAATGATAAATAAACATCTACATAGCTGAAGGCTCCAGAACAGCTACAGAGGAGAGTCTTAAATCAACATTATAAACAAAGTATTTTGGTTTGAAGTTTTTACATTTTTAGAGAATGACGCCCAAACGATGTGAAAGAGTCTGAAGTTATTGTGTGTGCATGTAAAATGTCAGTGTGATATTTTAGAGGGACTGATATCTAATTTTCCGTTTAACATCAACTAGTCAGTGTTCTCTGCTTACAGTATGACAAACACAAAGACAGTAAAAACTTAAATAACAAACTCACAGTACAGTGTAACCGACCTGTTGGGTGGGAGTTGTTGTGCATGAACCAGGAGCGTTGTTGTCCACATAACATGGCCCACGCCTTGTCGTCCTAGTCCCTAACATCATGTCTTTCATGGTGTTGATCCTCGCCACGCCAAACGCAGTCCGGGTGGTTGTCATAAATGCGATCGATTGCAGACCTCCCAGTAGTGGATGCCCTGAAATCAAAGGGAAACGGAATAAATGTTATAGACATCTTGTGTCATGTGTCTGTGAATCTTGTGTGATCTCATCCACTTATAAAAAGGTCAATAGGTAATAAATGTGGTGTGAACTCAACTATCAATATTCCCCTCAGAGACAAATGTGTGTGAACATTCACCTTAGAGAAAGCAGCGGTTCCCAGCACCACACGGTCATCGTAGCTGTTACAGGTGACTGTCTGGTTTTCATTGGACAGACAGAACCAATGGTCCCGCGATGAGCCAGAATGGGTGGGTCTCAAAAGATGTGAATCATGCCACTGTGATTAGGAAAATACAGTCATCATGCATGCCTGCTCTTATTCATGTTTTGGACGGAGGGTTATTAAAAGACACAAAAAGACACCTATGAAGACGTGTAGTCTGTATGTTTAATTCTTATTAGCAGCCTATAGTATTATCAAAGTAATGATGTCTGTACATCTAAAATGTACTAAATGAAAAGTACAACTATACATATACACACTTCGGTTTCACACCTGTGTTTTCCCAAACATACATGAAAGCCATTAAAGCAGCTCTGTCCACAATGCTAGCAGAACCTGAACTGCTAAAACATCCTGTAGGTTTGTCGTGGGATTTTCCATCCTGAACTATGAATAAAACTTTTTTTTGCTGATGTTGAGAAACAAAAAATCTGCTAAATCTATTTTCATAAGTTAGAAACATTTTCCTGTAACTAAATATTTTTTTTATTAATAAGTTACTGTATGCTGTAACAAGAAAAACTGACACCCCTTAGAACAAAACTGACATTTTACACAAATTATGCTCACCGGAAATTGAAAGGAAATGACAAATGTGTCCTAATCTTTGTCAATTGTCTAAACTGATTTGTTTGATAAAGAAGAATAATTCAGCCTCAGACATTGTGGTTGTACAAGGTGTCCCAAATATGTAAAAGTCTCAACTGTGATTGAACAAACATTAGCTGGTATTTTAGATTAATCTTCATCTTCTGTCAGCATCAAATATTCCCTACATGACCTGGTAGTACAGAATTAACAGCCTTTTAAAAAGCTAATTGAAAGATCTAATCCACATTCCATTTATAACCTACTTAGCCAAATAATAAGATGAATAATATTAAACATAACCAATGTAACACACACATATATATATATATATATATATATATGTATATATATTGGATAATAAAAGTATTAGCCATTGGTTCCTTCTTCCTTCCCACACAGACTTGTGTATGGAAATCCATGTCTAACACAATTTATACAATGTAAATGCTCAGGACATGAATGTGTGAATGAGTTTAGCTTCAGCGGGTAAGGTAAAAGTATACACACACACACACACACACACACACACACACACACACACACAGACACACACACACACACACACACACACACACCACACCACCAGACTTATAGCAGAAATGTCCATTTGTAAATACAACAATTTCCTCTCTGTGTGAAGCTGTTGGGAAGCTACAACCCTCAAAGAAAGAAAGAAAACGATACAGAGGCAAACTCCGAGCGAGGAATGTGTTGTAGGAGAGAGCGGCCATGCTACTGAAGCAACGATGTCTAGCCGAGATCGCTCCCCCAGGAGAGAAACCGGAGCACGGGGGAGAACGAGACCGCGAATGTGAGTTCGAGAAATGGAATTTACTTGGGATCGCTGAGAAGTACCAGAGCGAA